AAGAATGTCAGTCCAAGAAAGAGATATGATAATGGAAGCAGAGGTCTTGATGCGGCAGGGGCCAAGGGATAGGAGCAGCCTCTAGAGGTTGGAATGATAAGGAATGGATTTTCCCCTGGAGCTCCCGAAAGAATGCAGGCTTTGATTTTAGTTCTATAAACCCTGTTTTGAAATTCTTATCTCTAGAACTTTAAGATAACAGATTTTTGTTGTTCTAAGCCACTAAATATGTGTCAATTTGTTACCCAGCAGTAGGAAACTACTGTTAAAGCTAGCATCAGAGGACAGGTGGACAGCATGAGGATGGAATATAAGAGATTTCTGATAGAATCTTCCTCTTTCTGTTGGCCTCGCCTTTGATTCTAGCTGTATTAGCTTCCTACGGCTGTTTAGCAAATTACTACAAATCTACTTCTTACTCTGCTCAGATCTGCTTGGACCCCACATTAATCCATCATTGAGTCACTGCTGGCTCTTCAACAGAAATAAGGGTTAGTGGTGCAAGCTAGTGCTGCCTGCTGCTGCAACTGATTTGAAGCAGGAATAAATACTCATTTCCTTCTTTCACCACCCATTCTAGATTTCCCTTACGCTAGGCCAGCAGTGCAGCTGCTTTAGGTTGCTTGTGACTTCTAGACTTTCATTTTTAAGGGATTTGAGCCCTTAGTTCCCTTGCCCTTTTTGGGCCATGGTTGCTGCAACTTCTGTTTGTTGTAGTTCCAAGCATGGAAACACCCTAAGTTCCAGACAGACTGCTCCCTACCCCAGGTGTGTACCACTCCTAATGATAATCAGAATGCATTAGCACTGCTAGTACAGTTTTTCCTTTCTTTGCCTGCTTGTCTATCAGCATGAGAAACCCTAAGTGACCCAGGGTATGACTAAAAAGCCATACCTTTTAGACTCAGTGGAACTCTCAGTTTTCAGTGTGTTCTCTGGTGGGAGCATTACCTTCAGGACCTCTAATACAGGAAAGGTTTTAAATCGCTGGAATGGGAAACTCAGATTCCACAATTGAGTTACTGATTGATGGTGAAAAGAGTCGGTCCAACTTCTATGCCTTGGTTTCTGGACTCATGCATTCTAGATATCAGGGATATGACACCATAGCCATTGTTTCAGCCCATATCCTGCATCCTAGTAGACCAACAAGGTGACTGTTTTGCTGAACTTTGAGTATAATTCCATCATTCTTTTAGTCTGACAGACTACTAGTGATGTGATATTTGTCGGACCAGTGGATGCCATGATCAGATACTTCACTTTAAATAGATGGTTTGGGGCGATGTTGAGATGGATTTTGGTAAGCATTTTGAAGCTATTGGATGATGGTGCTGGGCAGAGGTACTATGAATATTGAGGAACACTTTGGACAAGGAATGCAGTCCCATTTAAGTACGTGTAAATTCTGCTGCCTTTCAGAATGCAAGAGTTCCAATCCCATCATGCCACCTGTTCAGCTCTATGTCTGATAAGTTGCTGTTGGTATTCTGCAATGATCCCAATCCTCCTAGAAATTAGTCAATTTTAATGAGACTTTTTTTATTATATTTTTCAAAAGTAAGTTATGTTTTTGATAACAGAATCTGATGACCAGGAGTTTTAAATTTTAATATGGTCAGCTAATATTTCATTTATAAGGAATTCAAGAAAAGGTAAACTGTAGTGACAGAAAGCCTGTCAGTAGTTGCCAGTGGGGAGAGAATTGGCTGTAAAGGGGCACAAGGGAGCTTTTCAGGGTGATAAAAATGTTTTAGAGCTTGATTGTGGTATAGGTTACACAATTTTGCACATTTGCCAAAACTCATTAAACTGTACACTTAAAATCAATATAGATTATGTCTCACAACTTATTTTAAGGAAAGAAGAGGATTTAATGTACTCATTTGTTAACCTTTTCCATATTAGTTTGTGTTTTCCTTTATAGTTAATTTTTGATTTCTAGATTTGAGAAACTCTTCTTCCCTTCTTTGGGGTTTTTTTTTCCTGATTTTCCCATCATATTAATTTCTGTTCTTTATTTCCCTTATTGTCTTGAAATGTACTCAGGATTTGTTTTAATCAGGTAAAAATAAGACACACAGAATAGAAATGACTGTTAGAAAGAAAAATGTTTACCTCACAGTTTCCTTTGGGGAAGCACCAAGGTTGGTGAGGAAGCAGAGGGAGCAAGGGAAAAGCATGTCCAGAGCTTTTAAAGTGGTTAAGTGGGAAGGCATTGAGGAGGCAAGGTAGATAAGTCTGAGCAAGTTGAGGTTTGAAAAATTTATCGTTTTGGGAGATACCAGTCGTCTTTAGTTTTCTAGTAGATGGCCACAGGATGAGTTAGAGGGCATACTGGCTTGGTATGTGAGAATTTTTTGGAAGGAAATGTTGGTTGTGGGGTATAGGATTTGGATAGGTTAGGTGTGTATCAGAGATACGCTCTCAGGCAAGTTGTTTTTCTGTTTCTAGAAATTCAGTACAGTCCCTCCTTGGGTCCAAAGGGCCCTGCCATGATAGACCATCATAAATATTGAAAAAATTTCAAAACATGATTAATACACTTACACTTTCTTTTGGTTAGCTTGGTTGCTTTTTTCTACTTTCTTGATTTAAAATGTTAATTAAGGGGTGCCTGGGTGGCTCAGTCAGTTAAGGATCCAACTGATTTCAGCTCAGGTCATGATCTTGGGGCCTTGAGGTCAAGCCCTGCATCGGGCTTCATGGGGAGTCTGCTTGAGATTCTCTCTTTCCCGCTTCCTCTGCTGGCCCCCCCTCACTTGCATACTCTCTCCATCTCAGATCTTTAAAATATATGTTATTTAAGCATATTCATTTTTAATGTTTAGTTATAAGTGCAACAAGGCTGTAATTTGAGCTGAACTCCTCGTTTTGATAGTGTAGTGCTTTTATTGTCACTCCTTTATAATTTCTATTGTGATTTTCTTTTTGTTTAGGAGTCTGTTTTTAAGTTTCTAAACATTTAAAAACGTTTTATTGGGGATTTCAACATTATATTGTGGGCAGAGAGTGCACACGTAGGTATAAGTTCTTTGAAATTATTTTGTCTCTTTGTGAAAGAAAAGCTTAATACATTATCAATTTCTGAAAATGTTTCAAGTGTGCTTGAAAATAATTATATCCTTATTTTTTTTGTTTGTTTGTTGGAAGGTTCTCTGTGTAATTGTCAGATTAAACTTAAATTTGCTGGTCAAGTATTTCTCTATCCTTATCAATGTTTTGACTTCTCGATCTGTCAGTTTTCAATATAACTAAATTAGAGACTCATGTGGTATTTGAAGATTAATTTTTTTCTTGTAATTTTAGGGATTGTATTGAATCTGTAGATTGCTTTGGGTAGTATTGACGTCTTAACATCCTAACAATTTTAAATCTTCCAGTCTGAATATGGGGTGTTTTTTCATTTAGTTATTATGTCTTCTTTTCTTTTCTTTTTTTTTTTTTTTTTTTAAATTGAGCTTTCTTTTTAGATCAGGTAGGTTCACAGCAACATTGAGGGGAAGATAGAGATTTCCCACATTCTCTACCTCATACATGCATACATAGCTTCTTCCATTATCAGGATTCCCCATCAGAGTGGTGTGGTACGTTTGTTACAACTGATGAACCTACATTAACACATCATAATACCTGAAGTCCATAGTTTACATTATGGTTTACTCTTGGTATTGTATACTTATGTCCTCTTTAATTTGTTTCAGTAATGCTTTGTAGTTTTCATTGTACAAATCTTTCCCTTCCTAAGGTTATTCCCAAGTATTTTATTCTTTCTGATGCTCTTGTAAATGGTCAAGTAGTTTAATTTCCTTTTCAGAGTGTTCATTAACAGTGTTCACTGACATTGTTAGTGTTAGAAATGCAGCTGATTTTTGTGTGAGTTTTATATCCTGCTGCTTTTGCTGAATTTACACCAGCTTAAATTAGATAACAGAAAAACTTTGCTCTTCTACAGCTCCAGTCTCACCCTCTTTCAGTTACTGATGTCACAGAAATACATCTTTAAACTTTTGTGTGTCCAAACATATAGACTAGTAATTGTGTGGTTTTTTTTTTCTGTATTAAATTACATCTTCTGTTTTATTTACACAGATACTTAAATGTACACGTGTTGCAGCCTTTATGAAAAAATAATTTAAAAAGCCCTTTTATTGAAATTTAGTGTAAATGAGTAGACAATCTTATAAATCAGTTCCATTTTCAGTTTAGATGATGTGAAAGTTTTTGTTCCATTCAAAGGCATCTGTATCTTTGGATTATGGCGTCTTTTCCGTAACTTCCAGGCTGGCTGCCCCGCAGCAAGAGTGTTGAGGCTGAGCGGCTACACTGTATGTGCTGTAATTAGCAGCCTGACAGCGCATCAGAGTGCTTCCATGCTGGGAAAGCCCTTTGTAGTTTCCAAAGCCTTTTCCTGTTTCCCTCATTTAAGAAGCCGCAGTGTTACACTGGACTTCGTTTCAGAGAGAAAGGCCACCTGAACTGCACAGGGAGTGGACAAGTATCCTCTGCCTCTCCCCTGCGACCTAAGGGGAGAAGAGCTGGGGCAGCAGAAGTGGCACTGGCCTTTTTGGTGGCATCACTTGGAAGCAGATAGGGTAAAAAAAGACCTGATTTTTTTTCTTAAACTTCAAACTGAGGGAAAATTGAGGCAAAAACGATAACCATGCCGTAACATTCAAACCGAAGCACGTCAAAATGTAGTATTTACCAGTGGATTACAGGATGATGGGTAAATTATTTTTACTTTGCTACTTAAAACTTTTCTGTCTTGTCCAAAGTTTCCTCAAAGTGCTTTGTTTTTAATCAAAAACATCCTTTGCTTGCCAGTCTTAGAAAAGCAAAAGAACAGAGTGGGTATGTGGGCAGGGAGGATCTGGGAGGCCGAGGACAAAATGGGAACCAAGTCTTGTTATGCAAGATGAAGAGGGGAAACTAGGTGAAGCGGGAGGATGGGGCCTCTCTGCGGACGGCGGGCGTGACGCGGGCGTCCCTCTTGCTGGTTCTTCTCTAGTGCACGGATCGCGGAGGCAGGGAGGGGGAAGCACGCCGTGGTACTCGTTCCCCGTGGCAGTCCTCAGGATGTGGCTGTCGTGGCATTCGTGCGCTTCACCAGGACCTCTTCATACTGTTTCTGTGTCAGTAACCCTTCCGTTATGCTTTTGCTTTCTTCAAATTTGGGCAACACAACCGCAATGTAGCCTTCGGTGGATGGCTTCTCTTGAAGAATAGATGGCTTATGGAGAATGTTTTCATTCACTTCCATCAACTGTCCTCGAACACAGCTAGATACGGTGTATTCTTCTCCATCGGAGCAGTAAATCTTACACAGAGGTGCAAGCTCTGTTAGAAACTGCCCCCCGCTTAAATTTCCCAGAGACCTTGTTCTGAAGTCGGCTACAGTTGGTACTGATTTGATAGGAGATGCTTTTAATTGTCTTTCCACTTTGAAGAACTGGATGAGATTCTGCCAGTGTGATGACACATATTTGGTTGGAGTGCTGTAGTATACAGTGGTCCTCACAGGGTTTGCCTTTGACATCGGCTTTGTACCAGCGAGTGAAGTAACGATCCACGAGCGACGGCACAGTAGCTTCCGTGGCCGCGGGCTCGGTGGCCATGGCGACCGCCGGTCAATTGTGTGGTTTTTTTAAAGACTTATTTGTTTACTGATTTGAGAGAGAGTGTGTGCATGTGCAAGTGCGATGGGGGTGAGCAGAGGGAAGGGGACAAGTAGACTCTGTGCCGAGTGTGAAGCCTGTTGCAGGGCTTGATCTCAGAGCCCTGTGATCATGACCTGAGCCAAAATTAAGAGTCAGATGCTCAACCACCTGAGCCATCAAGGCTACATAGGCCACCCAATAATTGCTATTTTTAATGCATTAGTCTCTTACATTGTGTAGAAAGCAAAATGTAGAGTTACAATAATAGTCATTTTAGATTAATAAGTGTTTTTAAAAGTTGTTTATTAGTGTCTTAAGTCATATAGAAAACAAAAAAAACAGTTACAAACTGAATTTTCAGTAATTCCGTCTTTTATGCTCATGTGTTTACCTTTATTGAGATCTTTATTTCTTAATATGATTTTGAATTCTTGTTTAGTATCCTTTCATTTCAACTCAGGAAGTACTTCCTTTACATTTTTTGCAGGGCAGGTCTGGCAGTAACAAACTTCCTCTGCTTGTCTGGGAATGTCTTAATTTCTTCCCTCACTTTTGAAGTCCAGTTTTATTGAAAATTGGGTTTTAGTTGACTCTTTTCTTCTTCCAGTATTTTGAATATGTCAACCTACAGATGACCCTTGAACAACATAGTTTTGAATTATGTGGGTCAGCTTATATGCAGATATTTTATAGTACAGTACTGTAAATGTATTTTCTCTTCCTTATTTTATTTATTTATTTATTTAAGAAAGAGAGAGTGGGGGAAGAGCAGAGGAAGAGGGAGAGAGAGAATCATAAGCTGGGTATGGAGCCTGACACAAGAGTTCCAACTCACAAACCCGAGATCATGACCTAAGACTAAATGAAGAGTCAGATGTTTAACAGACTCAGGCCCTCAGGTGCCCTGTCTTCCCTTACGATTTTTTAAAATAACATTTTCTTTCATCTAGTTTAGTTTATTTTAAGAATATGGTATGTAATATATAAACTATGTGTTAATCAACTGTTTATGTTATTGATGGGCTTCTGATCAGGAGTAGACTATTAGTTGTTAAGTTTTGGGGGTGTCAGAAGTTGTACATGGGCTTTTGACTGTGTAGGGGTCAGGGCCCCAATCCCTGAGTTGTTCAAGGGTCCGCTGGACTGTCTTCTGTCCTCCAGTTTCGTTTCGTTTCGTTTCGTTTCGTTTCGTTTCGTTTCGTTTCGTTTCGTTTCTTTTCTTTTCTTTTCTTTTCTTTTCTTTTCTTTTCTTTTTCTTTTTCTTTCTTTCTTTTTTTAAAGATTTTATTTACTTATTTGACAGAGAGAGACACAGAGAGAGGGAACACAAGCAGGGAGAGTGGGAGAGGGAGAAGCAGGCTTTCCACTCGATCTCAGGACACTGGGATCATGACCTGAGCTGAAGGTAGACGCTTAACGACTGACCCATCCAGGCACCCCTATCCTCCAATTTCTAATGAGACATTTCTCGGTGATCTTACTGAGGATCCCTTGTGTGTAATGATTCACTTCGCTCTTGTTACTTTCAGGATTCTCTGTCTTTCTGTGTTTACATTTATAGTTTATCTCAGTATAGATTTCTGAGTTTATCCTGCTTGGAGTTTGTTGAGCTTCTTTGATTTTTTTTTTTTAAAGATTTTATTTATTTACTTATTTGACAGAGAGAGAGAGAGAGAGAGCACAAGCAGGCAGAGAGGCAGGCAGAGGCAGAGAGAGAAGCAGGCTCCCCACTGAGCAAGGAGCCCGATGCGGGGCTCGATCCCAGGACCCTGAGATCATGACCTGAGCTGAAGGCAGTGGCTTAATTCACTGAGCCACCCAGGCGCCCTTCTTTGATGTTTTATTTATTTATTTATTTTAATTTTATTTTTAAAATAAAGCTCAAGCTCACAGCCCGAGATCTAGAGTCCCATGCTCCACTGACCTTGCCAGCCAGGTGCCCCTAGCTTCTTGGATGTTTAAATGCATGTACTTCATCAGATTTGGGAAATTTTTAGCCATGTTTCTTCAAATAATCTCTTTGGCCCTTTAGTCTCCCTCTTTTCCTTCTCATACTCCCACAAGGCATCTGTTGGTTCTTTTCTTGGTATCCCACAGATCCTATTCTCTGTTTACTTTTCTTAAGTCATTTTCTTTGTGTTCTTCAGGGTTGATAATTTCAGTTGCCCTGTCTCCATGCTCTGATTCCTTCTTTCACCTGTTCAAATCTGCCTTTAAATCCCTCTGGTGAATTTTTCATTTTTGTTGTTGTACCTTTCAGCTGGAGAATTTCTTAGGTTTTCTGTTTCTGCAGATATTACTCTTCTGTTCATAACATCGTTTTCTTTACTTTCTCCACATCTTTCTTTAGTTATTTGAGTATCTTTAAGGTGTTTGTTTTAAAGTCTTTGTTTAGTGGGTTGTTAGCTCTTCTTTCTCCAGGATGATTACTGTTGGTTTTTCCCTTTGATTGGGCCACACAGTCCTGTTTCTTTGTAAGCTGTGTGTGTGTGTGTGTGTGTGTGTGTGTCTTTGTTTCTGTCTTTGGTTGTTGAAAACTGCATACTTGAATCTAATAATACGGTAAATCTGAACATCAGATTGTCCCTCTGCCCCAGGTTTTGCTGGGTTTTTGTTTTTATTGTCATAGGTTGTCTCTTTGCCAGGAATCACTTTGAGGTATAAGCTTTCCTCAGCTCTTCACTGAGCTTGTGCCTTTTTCTGGATACGTATTGTGGTGATTTTCTTAATCCCCTTATTACTAGTCCTTTATTGTCTAGCTCCTGAAAGGATAAAGTTAAAAAAGACACCAGCTCTTTAGATTTCCCTCAGCCTGAGGGAGAGGGGCTTACATAATGTGTGTGTGTGTGTGTGTGTGTGTGTGTGTGTACACACATCAGTGACTGCCTCTTTGTTAGCACCCCACTGATCAGATGCATCATGCAGCTGTCAGCACATAGATCCCTGATATTTTCATGACAGGATTCTTAACTGCTCGCTTTAACTCCTGCAAGCCACTCTTCAAACTAATGTACAACTACCTGGCATGTGCCTGGGGAGTGGAAGATGTGTAGCCCTTGCTGAGTTAAGAGCTGAAATTAACCAAAATTTATGGTCCAAGACTTCTCTGGAAATTTCAAGACTTGGAGTAGACTCCAGAGTTCTGAAAGAGTTCAATCAGACAGATTCTGCTAGTACAGTTGTTGTCTAGCTTCCTAGATTCTTAGTGCTTCTAGATTCTTAGTGCTTCCTACTCCACCATTTCCCAGAATCTCATAACTTTATGAAAGAAAATTTCATTATAGTTTTGAAGACTTCTTAATCTTTTTCCCATTGTTTTCCAGATTAAACCTCAAAGCAAATACATTTGAGACCTTTTACTTAGTTTTCAAGTTTAGATAGCAAACACTTGAAGGAGGGATTCTTGTTTCTGATCCTTTTTTTTTCCTCCCTAAGAAGAAAACTAAATGCTTCCAACTGGAAGACTGGAAGAGTTTGAGACTGGAGATGGAGAGACCCCTTAAGAGGCAATTGCTTTCGTTACTACTACTAAGGCAGTGATAGTGAGAATGGAGATGCATGGATTCATTTGAGTCCTATGAAGGAGGTGAAAAGGCCATGAATTGAAATGAGGGGATTGACTGAGTAGACGTTCATTAATCCAGATAACTGTATTAATTAATGGTGATACTGTTTACTAAATTATAGAATACAGAAGCAGAAACTCCTAAGGGAAATGTAGTTAAGTGTGAGGTGCCTGTGAGATAAGTACAGTACTTCAGAAAGCACTTTCATACCTAGGAATTTTAAGGAATAGTGTACTGGCTCCTGGTAACTTCTGTAGGTCCTATTGCATGCATAAGCCAAAAGGTAACAGGAAGTCAATAACATGGAGGGTAAGAGGAGGAAATAGATTTAAGCACAGCAGTTAATGTGAAAAATAACTCAAATGTTATGATTAATTGCATATTAAATATGTCTGAGAGTTCAGGTTACCACAAGTTTAGCGTATATATGTTAGGAGAATATGGTTGCTGAGTGATGATATAATCTAAGCCTCATTTACACTGTACGGCATGGGGAAATGATAGTTCCACTGTCCCCTATACTTTGTGTTTTCTTTTGGAAATATGTATAACTTGGAGCAACACTTTTAAGAGATACAGTAATTAGAGTCTATTAAAGAGTAACAACTGGAACAGCAAAGGATTAAGATGATGAAAAAATTAGAAAACACAGTACAAATCTGGTTTTATTTAGTCCAAATAATTTGAGGAGATAGTTTTGATATTGATTGTAGTTTTGATGTAACTGAAGAGACTTTCTTGATATAATCTGATTCAGTTCTCTCATTTTACAAATAAGAAAATAGAGTTTTAGTTAATATGACATTCCCTGACTCAGAGTTAATAGCAGGACAGTTTAATGGCAATCCCAGTTTGTTAAGCATATTTTATCTTTAGGAACAGTGAAGCGGGGCTGGGACTAGAGTGAGACAAGCAAGTTGCCTAGGGTACAAAATTAAGGAGGTTGTCACTCTTAGATGCAGACCCTGCACTTGCAAGATCTTTATTTATCAGAGTAATATTTGAAGATGGTTTAAAATGTCAAATAGTTACAGGAGATACCTCCTAGCGCTGCAAATTAAGGATAGCCTGAGGAAGCTAGATGGAGTGATGATGGTAGAAGAGAATTATCCCTTAAGACCTAGCCCTCGGTGTATGGTAATCTAGCAGTTGGCAAGTACCTGTGAAGCATTACTTCACTTTTTGTGAGAACAGTGTGGGGTGCTCTATCTTTAGGTCAGGATTGGTTCCTGTACTCTTCCCCCCACCCCTTCAATCAGATCTCAGAGGCTTTAGTTTCCTCTGTGCCTTTTTTTTTTTTTTAAGATTTTATTTATTTATTTATTTGACAGGGAGAGAGAGAGAGAGAGAGAGAGAGATCACAAGTAGGCAGAGAGGCAGGCAGAGCAGTGGGGGGAGC